CGGCCTCGGGCGTCAGGTGGACCACCCCCGGGCGCGCCGACCCCCTACAGCCCGACGCCCCTCCCGATCGGAGCCAAGGACGGGCCGGCGTTTGGCGACATCGTGCCGGGCTCGCGGCGACCGCAGAGGCTCGAGGACGGGCCGATACCGCAGCAAGGAATATGACCCACTTCCGGTCCCGCGGCAAGGTTTTGATTCCCCTCCGACCCCGCAGCAGGCATATGGCTCCCCTCCGACCCCGCAGCAGGGATACGGCTCCCCTCCGATCCCGCAGCAGGCATACGGCTCCCCTGCTTTCACCCAGCGGGAAAATGACATCCCTCCTCCCGACAGCCGGGGTATAATCCGCTCCCCACCCCACAACAGCAGCTCGAGTCCGGCCGTGGCCCACAACAGCCACTTGGCCCCCCCGATCTGCCCCAGCAGGGCTATGGTGCCAATCCTACCCCACAGCCGAGATTTGAATCTCTCCCCGTCCCGCTGCAAGGGCTTGATTCTTTCCCTCGTCAACAGCAAGGGTATGACTCATCTCCATTCCCAGAGCAGCCACATGGGTTTTCGCCCGCTCCCCAGCAGGTATTTGATGTTCCTCCCACCACACAACAGAGGTTCACCTCACCTTCCTTTCCGCAGCAGGGGTATGACTCTCCTCTTCCCTCTCAGCAGGGATATAAACCACCCATCTTCCCCCAGCAGGCGCTGGACTCCCCGCAGCCGACATTTGACACATCTGCCAATCCGGAAGTAGCGTATGGCTCGACACCCGGCCCTTTGCCGGGCCTCAACTCTTCGCCTGGTCAGCAGGCAGGTTTTGGCCCCCCTGGTGTCACCATTGCTCCCCAGCCCAGCTACAGCGCCACTCCCGAGCCTCACAGCGCCACTCCCGAGCCTCAGCTCAGCTTCCCGTCAGTTCCCGGCCCGCCCCCGGGTCACGCGTCAGCGCCCCGAACCTCAGCTTGAGTTCCCGTCACAGGCCGGTCCCGTCTCCTACCCACCGCCCAGCGGTGGTCCTGTCCCCCAGCAGCAGACCAGGCCCTCGCCTCACCCCGGCGCGCGAAGGCGGAACACTTCCCGGCCCTGGTCCCCAGATCGACCAGGGCTACGGGGACCGGCCTCCCCCGGCTGGCCCTGGACGGCAGGTGGAGCCGAGCTATCCGGGTCCGCATGGCTGGGCTGCTCAGCTTGGGAACAGGAGTCGGCAGCGGCGCTGCCTACGGTTGAGGTAAGTTTACCGTTGTCGGTGTGACGACGCGTGTTTGTGAGAATGACGACGAGAGGCGACAAATCTATCCTTGGTCGAAATTCAATCTCATATTTTCGACCCCCGGAAATTCGGGCGGTCTCTCTTTGCGCCACTTAAGTGAAGCCCCGGTGTGTTTGGCAGGGTCCTGCGAGATACAACTTCCAGTGGGGCGTGAGAGATATCTTCGGCAACGACTACGGCCACAGAGAGGCCAGAGACGGGCCCCAGGTGGAAGGCACCTACTACGTCCAGCTACCAGACACCAGGAGGCAGACTGTCAACTACCGCGTGAACGGCCAGAGCGGCTTCATCGCTGATGTTCAGTACGAGGGAGAGGCCCAGCACCCGCAGGGCGAAAGAGGCCCGGGCTACCAGGGTGGCCCTGCCGCCGGATCTTTTGTCACGGCGTCCCGGTGATCTACCAGCCGATTGGCAGTTCTCAAGGCGGCCCCACACTGCCTCGGCCAACCTTCGGGTCTGAGCCTCAGCCGCTGCCAGAGCCGCAGGCGAACTACCAGGCTGGGTCTCAGCCTGGGTACGGGTCTGGGCCTCAAGCCCCGCCGCAGCCACAGGCGGGGTACCAAGCTGGGCTTCAAGCCTGGGTTCCAGCCTGAGCCCCAGACCCCGCCGCAGCCACAGGCGGGTTACCAAGCTGGGCCTCTGTCTGGATTTCAGTCGGAACCTCCTTCGCTGCCACAGTCTGGTCTGAGGCCTCATCGTGATTTTCTGACGCCACCGCAAGCTGTTTACCAAGGTGAACCTCAGTCTGGTTTTCAGCCTGGCCCCCAGTCTCTGCCACAGCCGCAGTCTGATTACCAAGGCGGGTCCGCAGCCTGACTTCCAACCGGAGCCTGAGCCCCTCCGGGCAGCAGAAGACTGGCCGCAGGGCGGGGCCTAGAGCGCCGCCTCGTTACTAGCCGTGAGTCCAATCCTGAGGACTGGTGGACGGGATGAGCGCGTCTCGCCAGCGAAATCAGGCGCTTTGGAAAGTTTGGGCTTGTCGTTAACAGGGAAGTGTGTGGAACACGGAAAATAAGTGGTGCGATGAGGTAGCGTAAAGGAGGCGGTGTGAAGTAAAAACCACGTGTTTCTATAACCAGAGCCCTTCACATCCTTTGCCTCTCCAGGCATTTCCGTTCCGTCCGTCGCGATCCGGCTCATGACCTTTGAACTCCGAGATGTGGACCGTCATGGGATAGCACCCCAAATCAGCCCCTTCCCCGACCCCAGTCCTCTGGTGTCGCCTCGTACCGAACGCCGGAAGACAGGCGACACGGGCGGACATGTGCGCGCTGTGTGTCGGCGTCTTGGCTGGGATGTACGCTCGTGTGCTGGCGTCTTGGCTAGCATGTACGCGCTGTGTCGGCGTCCGGTGACAAAGGTCTTGACCCGGATCACGTGTCCGAAAAGACGAGTCTCGCACGGCTACTGCAAAGGCAGCCGCGTGAAGATGCTGTCGCACCAACATTGTGCACACAGGCGATGCGGCTGCAGTCTGCTGTCTCATTGTCGCCATGGTGTCACGCTCGGCTCAGCCATCAAAACTGCAGTGCGTATTCTGGCTGCGTCCCGTACGGTGCGGCCGAACGGAGCCGATGTTTGATGAAGCTCTGCCCGACTATTTTGTGCGAAATATGGCGGCGAGTTGGCTTATGTTCTCACATTTTCCCATATGGCTGAATTGATTTGTGCGTTGAGAAATTAGGTGTGTTTGATGTTAGGAAATCAAAAATACGATAGATGAGTCCCATTTAATTCAGAACTTGTTTATTCGATATGATACCACTTGTTGAGCGATGTGAACCGAGCGTGTTTAAGTTACTCGTCCGTGAGCCGTTGTCATAATTATGTGCGTGGTAGTGCAACAATGTACCTTTTGTCACTGCGTAGGGGCTTACCGCGAAACGATCAGCACGCATTCGGTTTTGCAGTTGGTATAATGCGTGCGTACTCGCTATTCCGTTGTTATTGAATAAACAGCTTCAGGAAAGAAGCAGGGGTCTATTTTGCTGTCCCTATACATGCAGCTGCTACTGTTTTTTTTTTAGCAGCATGCCGTTATTTACTAAAACCATGACGTTGAGCAAAATCAAGAATACTGATTATAGTTCTGCATGCGAGGGTGCACGGAGAGTGTGGTTGTAGCTACCAGCTATGCATGATGAAACGCGATCTTGCTTTGATCGAACGTACACATGCAACAATTGGGACTGGTTTCCCGACAGTTGCATTGTTTGCAGTACGCACAATAACACCACCGCCGAAAAGAAGAGCTCGGAAGTCTCTTCCATTCGTGCAAGTGCCCTGTAGCACTCTGAGAAGCATAGCTGTAGCACTCTGGGAGCAGCTTTTCAATTCGTATAAGTGCCCCGTAACACTCTGAGAACCATAACCGTAGCACTTTGGGAAAGCATAATGAAAACCCTAATTAGTAAATAAAAACACAATAACTAAAACTTAACATAGCTGTCTGGAAACCTGATACAGGATGTATTTGAACATCGTATTGGAGCACACCTGCCTAGGGCAGTGACTGGTATTGTTGCTAGTATATCCAGCGTTTAAACACATTTCATAAACACACCAGGTACCAACAGCTGTGACCGCGAAGCGCTTTTCACAGGCTAATGGTGCCAGGCGAAGCTGGTCCTTGCGTTCCTTGGTGGTGGGTACAGGGGTGCTCACTTCCTGCAAATGGCAAAACTTAGTCTATAATGTGGTCTAGACGCGAAATAAACGCATAAGACCAGCCTCCCCATAAACGTGAGTCTCGAGCTCGCTCTAAAGCTCGGGTGTAGATCTGACTCTTGATCAATTGGGCTGATTTAATATGTTTCACCCCACACGGCAGGGCTGATTTGAAAGCGTTTACTAGTGTAAAAGCCCTAAGCGAATTCATCTGACTGCAGATTCACGGTGTATTTGTCAATGTATTTTGAGCAGCTGAATACGATGTGGAGTTCGCGTAAGAGACATCTGGGTATTTGCTCTACCGAACAATAGATTAATCGCTGTTCGCAGCGACACTAGTTCAACGACTGATAAACTCGAACTTCAGCATCTCAGCCGATACGTGCATACTGTCTTTTAAGGATTGACGAATCCTGTAGCGGCAGTACATCGCCTGCAACACGACAGGGGCATGCGAGCGGTTTTTAGACAAGGCAGCCTCAGAAAGAGCCAGCCGGTGCACCGCTCCTCCTTCAGATGCCTCGGCAGCGATGACCCCGGGCGTTCGGAGCGCTCTGACCGGCGTGCAAATTCTCTGGTTGTGTAAGTTGCTCTTCCGCTGCTCGTGCTCTCACCTAGATTGAAAGGCGTCCGAAAGTCCAGAAGTCACGCGGCGTTCTGGCACCGGAGGGTTAACTCGGGAGTGTCGGCAACGCCACGTGTTGTAATTAGAAATATGGGCGATTTCAGTGGGGTGGACCGTGTTTCGAGCCTGTGTAATCATGTGTGCTTGTGCAATGCGGGGTCTTATTTAGACACAGTATTAAACACGGACACAGCTATTTAAACAAAGTCATACGATATCGCAATAGTGTGGCATCACGTGACTCTGGAACGCTGAGATCACGTGACCATACCAGTAACCCTCACCACGCAGCACTCCCGCGTGCAGCGTGAGCCAAAGGAATTCCCACTCAAAATGCCGGCGGATTCAGCTGTTATGTTATATTTGTTCTCACGGACTGTCAATAAATACTGGCACGCGGACAAACAGACTCACGGTAATCATATACCGGACTGCTCGTGATCACACGGCCCGGAGGCCGAGCAGACCGCAGCCGCCTGGGAGCAGAGGCGCGCTCAGGCCTCGGCGGCGGCGGGGGCAGCTTTAGCGGCGGCCGGAGCGGCCTCCGTGGCCTGCGCTGCCGCCGCGGTTGTGGCGGCGCGGCTGATGCCGGTGCGTACTTAGGCTTGTAGTAGGCGGGCCGGTACGGCGCGGGGTACTGCGGGTACTGCGGCGCCACAGGAGCGGGGTTGTAGGGCGCGGGGCCGGCTTGTAGGCGCGGGGGTGGGCTTGTAGGGCGCTGGGGTGGGCTTGTAGGGTGCGGGGGCGGGCTTGTAGGGCGCGGGGGCCGGCTTGTAGGTCGGCGCCTGATGCGTCGTCTCGGGGTACTGGGCCTCGCCCTCGTACGTGACCTCGGCCACGAAGCCAGAGTCGCCGTCCACCTTGTAGGTGACGGTCTGGACGCGGCCGTCGGGCAGGGCGACGCGGTACGAGCCGGTCGTGCTCGCTCCGTCGCGCGTCTCGTCGGCAGCGAAGTCCGACCCAGAGTACTCGTCGGCCACGGCGTAGTCGAAGGCGTACTTGGCCGTGTCTGCAACACGGAGGGGGGGGGGGGCGTCAGCGGCGGGGCTGTGCTGGAACTGTGACACGAGTAGGGGGGTGTTGGCGGCGGAGTTGTGCTGGAACTGTGACACGGTGAGGGGGTATTAGCGAAGGAGTTGTGCTGGGACTGTGACAAGAGGAGGGGGTGTTAGCGGCGGAGTTGTGCTGGAACTGTGACACGGGGAGGGAGGGCATCAGCGGCGGAGTTGTGCTGGAACTGTGACACGGGAGGGGGTGTTAGCGGGGAATGTGCTGGAACTGTGACACGAGGAGGGGGGGTATTAGCGGTGGAGTTGTGCTGGAGCTGTGACAAGAGGAGGGTGTTAGCGGCGGAGTTGTGCTGGAACTGTGACACGGGGAGGGAGGGCATCAGCGGCAGGGCTATGCGAAAATGTGCGGCTACGTCGCCGGCTGGGCGAGAACTGCCGGGCGATGAGTGATTACTTGATCGGTGTGCGGGATAACTGGAGTTTACATGGATAGACGAGTTTAGTAAACAGAGTTCCCTTGTGAACGCACACAGTACCGCTGAGTTGATGTGGCACACAAGGAAGTGATGCTGGAGTGACAGTTCACAGTTTCCACGCATACGGTGCGAACAGGTGTCCCTCAGTCGTCTTCGGAAGCTGTGGCCGGCCTGGCGTCTTGCGCTGATGCCGCATAACTTAAACTCGCACCGCCAAGGCTAGATATGATATCACAGTGAACTGTCTTCATCCAACTGTCAGGGTCGAGCGATCCCCCAGCGATCGAGCTTACCTCTGGGTAAGCGGGCTCCGGCTTGTAAGCGGGCTCCGGCTGGTACGGGTCGACGGAAAGCGCCGTGCCCACGAGCACCAGGGTGATCACAACCTGAACCGCAGACACAGGTCAGCGACACCGGAACTCTGCAGGCTTCACCGCAGCGCTGTGGGCCGTTGTCGGCCAGACTGGGGTTGTGGTAACCGTGGATCGCCTCGTTCCGTGGCGTGGTACGGTCGGTTAAATCGGCCAACCCATGCGACTTCTTGGAAGCCAGGAAAGAAACGCAGTGGCA